GAAAAATCTCAAATAACTATATGTTAACCTAAAATTATTATCTACGAGTATAACTTAATCTTGCTTATATTATAATGGGAAAGTTTAGATGTTTGTTTGTTATTGTTTGTTGTTTTTGTTGTTGTTACTCAATCACTTCAGAACGGCTGAACGGATCTGGATGAAATTTGCCACAGAGATAGATTATAGTCTGGTATAACACATATTATATAATAATAATATAATATTTGATCCCAGAAAAATGTACGGTTCCCGAGGGATACTTTTGTTTTTGTTTTTTTAGAGATGAATCCGAGCGAAGCAAGGATGAGCCGCTAGTTTTATATAGTTACATATTCTACTATGAAATTTTATACCGTGCAGACATCAAAAAGTTTAACCTATTTTAGAATTATCATAAGATCATATAGTAGTTTATGTAGATAGTAAATACGATCAAAAATGTATTTATTTATACTAAATCACAAATGCCTACAATAGAAAACATATAAAAAATTAGGTATCACCCAGATATAACCTACAGCGTTAGGGTGCCATTTCCATAGTAACTGTACACCCCGAACCCTACGGAAGGGTACAACGGAAATGAGGTTTATTCCCTACCGGAAGTGGGGTTACCTGATGGTTGTCTATCTTACCGTGTAGGCTCAATTTGTTTCTTCATACCAAAGTACCGTATACTTGATACAAAATAAGTATCAAATATTCTTTTTATGAGGACTTTCTTGCTTCAAGTAGTATTTCCTAGGATTTTGCGATTATTTCAAGTAAAATACAACTAAAAATTAACACAAAGAAATTTTGATTTACTTTTTAGAAATGTAAATTAGGCAGGTATTTTTTTTATATTTATACTTCATAATTAGATTTCGTATTTGTGCACTTCTTGATCAGATGTAGGGTAGATAATAATAAGTCAGATTTAAAATAAATAATAGGTAGGTACATTTAATATAAGTAATAATTGAAAAGTAATAAATACAATTTTTATTTATTTTAAACTAGCCCTAGTTTGCTCAGACATCCCAAGACATATATAACATATTCGACTCGCAAATCCCGATTTTTTTTCATTTTGTACAATCTGCTAAACTATACAACCAATTACATACTGTACAGGGCATGTTTTATCTCTATTAATTACTTTGCAATGGTGAAATAGTTTAATTTGATAAGAATTAATATTATGTAGTAAAAACATTATTTTATCAAAAAATATATTTTTAATACATAAGAGCAAGTACATCTGCGAAAATATAAAAGTAAGGTATATATTATATGGTATCGCAGACTTTTTTGTAGAGATATTAACTATAATATATTGTTTTCACTTTTAAACAACCGTTTAGACAATGTATGTACGAGTACTATGTAATGAACGCTGTATTTTTTACAACTTGCTAGACAAAAACAGTGACAACTCTACAATAATACACATTACAAATGTAACATTTATATGTGACCATTAATTTAAAAAAAAAGGTTTATAATTTTTAGAGTTTATTGACAAACAAACAAACAAATTTTGCTCCTTCATATTATTACGATTTACGATTATAAAAAGTAGCCTATGTGTTATTTCAGACTATAATCTATCTCTGTGCCAAATTTTATCTAGATCCGTTCAGCCGTTCTGGCGTGAAAGAGTAACAAACATACATCCATACTCACAAACTTTCACATTTATAATATTAGTATAGATAGATTATTCATTTTGGTAATTATATCAGTCGGTTAATCAAAAAGTTTAACAAGTCACCTTCTACAACAAATTACAGTATTACCAGTTCATTAATATGATCTTTTGTTAATCTCGCCCACACCCTCTCACTTAAATCAAAATAATCACATCATTATGCATTACACATTAGGGTGGGTTTGACTTTTCCGATTCGCCACATCTGGGGCACTGACAATAGCCAAGTCAAAGCCCTCGATTATAACGAAAACAGGTGGTAAAGCCAAAATGCGTTTGTTAATTTTTAATTGTATCAGTCGAACATTGTTTATCTTTTTTAGCGGTGTCATTGCGGAATATAATGTCATCTAATTCTTGTTTCCGCTTATTGCTGGTTGTAAAATGCGTGTTCAGTGATCGTCTTTATTGTCAAGCTTTATCTTAATAGATATCAGTAACAATTATAGTATTATCAATGTAAGCCAAACCAATCTTATTCTCATGTCTAGAACATGGCGAATGAACATACTAATAAATAAATAAATATGTTGGGATATTAACACACAGCACCATCTAGTTCCATGGTAAACTAGGAGGTTTGTGTTATGGATACAAGAAACATTACACATATATAATTTTAAATACATATTATAAATATAAACACCCATGACTGGAGTACAAACATTCGTTCTCATCAACCAAATGAATGCTCCCAGCGGGACTCAAACCCGCGACCGCTGGCACAGCAAGTAGGGTCACTACAAACTGAGCCAAAAGTGTCGTCAAAATATATATTGTAATAAATATTATAAAACAAAACAGACGTTGGTTTTTCTTCATCGAAGCGGCTTTTAGATATTGATATTGTTTATGAACAGTGATAAAAGATAAATATTATTACCGCGTTATACTAAATGTATATAATATGAGTACCTACTGGAAAATTTGCGGAATACAAAAATGGCCTGAAATAAGATTAGTTTATTAGTACGTATATTGATTTAAAAATTATTATAACGTCGTGGCGCTGTGTGGTGTGTGTGGTCTGACAGCTTATGGAAGACCACAAGCTTTGATTTTCACACGTGGATAATTTCGTATTGACCACAGAAACTAAGTTATGTTCTAATTTAGATATTTACATTAACAAAAGTCCCAAAAAATCTGCCAAAGTATAGTATTGCGTGATTGTATTATTTTACTCTGTTTGACATAAAAATTTTTAAGAAAAAGCTACTACTGTGCTTCGGGCGCACTTTTCTCTATAAAAGTATAGGAAAGTCCAAATTATTCCAGGCAATTACCTCTTAAAAGGTATACAAAAACTATTTAAAGTAAAAACTAGCTTTAAATGCTTCTAAATAAAACTTTCTAAATAAGACGATACTTATCAGTAATGAATAATTAGGTACTCTGCCATATGCGTGTGAAGACAGGAAAAACAGCTAGTAGAAATAATTTTAGGCAAATGGATAGATGAATTAAAACACAATCATTATTGCCAGACTGCACGTAATCTAGCATTCAGCTATCTATGTCCGTTCTTCTTGAAACTACGTCGGTCGCCATGGAGACGTGCCGCATCAACACAGAGACACGTGTGAATATCCAGGTGACCTGATCCGTGGTACAATGGGAGATACATTACAGTATATAAGAATAGCATATTACTTTATTTATATAGAAGTGATCCGCTCTTGCTTCATTTAGGAATGACTAAAAGAAAAAACTCTGTCGATTATTTGATTTGTTAATAATAGAGTAAAAGAAATAAACAAATAGACAAATAAATACACTATGGACTTTATAAGTAAGCATTTAAATCATTGCTATACAAAACTCAAGATGCATTATTAGCGTCTCAAAAGTGTCTTCAAAGAAAAGAGCACAACTCCGAACTGAGCGTTTTTTTTTCAAATCTCTTTGGTCCATTGGTTTTAGGGTGACAAAATTAAAACATACCTACGTTGTTTTGTTTAAAAAAGTATTTTATGTGGTGTGCGTAAGTTGGAATTGTGTTTAGACAATTAGAACTTTTGATTTTTTAATTTTATTCTTTGATTTGACTTAATATTATATTTCCATGCAACTTTTTGAAGAGAAGTTTGTTAGGAAATGTGTTTCTATGTTTTTATATATCAACAATTATTTAAATGCATAGAGGTGTTAACGTTAAATAAATTACTGGCATGCATGCGTTGTGGGGTCAATTTTCGTGCAGTCTTATTGATCGTATATCTAGATTTATTCCGGCAGTATCTATTAAAAAAGCTAGCACAAACAACCGTATTGATTGAAGTAGATTTATTATGATTTTACGTCTTCATATTCTAGTATGATAAGTTTCTTTAATAAAGCAGAATTTTAGAAATTCTGAACATGTATATTCTGAAAAATAAAGAGGAATAATAGGAATTATAATAAATATTTTAATGATCATTTTGTTTTTCTTATTTTCAACAATATTTACTTTTTAGCTAGAAAAAGTACGATGACTTAAAAATTTTGACTGAAAAGTAATTAAAATTATTCCATCCTTGAGGGTTGAATTTTCTCTAACACTTTTAATGCACCCAATTAAGCCTACTTACTATTAAGGCAAAAACAGTTGGGGAAAAACGTGCCATACACACAAAAAGCACAACCAAATTAATGACCTCTTCCATTTTAAGTCGGTTAAAAACTTATTATTATTTATGAGAAAAAGTAGTAATAAACACTCTAAAAAAATCATAAAGACAGAGCTTGGTATGCTACAGTCCTAGTCCATGACTCCATCCCTGTTTATCCGCCACGTCACCGATGTCATACTCCGATAGTGAGCCATTACCGCCGCACTATCAACATGACGTGAATGCCAATAAAAATGAACTGCACTAAACCAATTGAAACTTAAATTTCACTGAAACAAAGAGCTATTAATGATTATTTATTTATATTTATTTGTAAGAATAAAGTAATAAAAGTCTAAAGATAGATAATATATTGTAGGTACTATTGTACTTATTTTGCAACTCACACAAATTATTGACAGCTCAACACTGTTAAAATAATATGTATCCTTCAAATAAACATATGAGCATTTATGTATATGTAATTTAAAAGTTACAAAAATACAATTTAATAAATAAAAAAAATAATAACTTCTTCATCCGTTATTGCAATCATCATTAACAATTCGTTGTTTCTAAGACAATTTAAAGCGTAGTTTCTATAATTCCTCCAATACTTTTACTTCTAAATAATAAAAAAATCTTATAGCAAAATAGTTATTCGTTTATTTCGTTAAAGCTTTATCAGGAAGTGCTGGCAAAGGAGCTTAAACAACTAAAACGTCATTGGACAGTGAAGACGCTATCGTCTCAGGGTTGACTTCTTTAGGAAAGTGGAACTCCTGGTGACATTTCCTGTATGTAGTACTCGTGTCCGACTTTTCTTCGTATAACGCTGATACTATTAGCTTGTTATCTAAAATGCTAACAGTTATCTCTGTAAGAAACTTTTGTTAATATTGCCTTAACTGAAAATTTGCCTGAAATCTGAAAAAATAAATAATAGTAAAATAGCAATGATAGCTTATTGGAAGCTCTTTTATAAATAAAGCGAACTTTACATCTCTGAGATTTTCAAGTACGAATTTTGTTTTCAATGAAAGAAAAACATAATATAGTATGTTTTTGCAGTGATGAAGTAAGCGTAAAGAATTAAATCAGCTTATCATTAAATAATTTACATATTAATGAGCTTTATAGCTCCCATTTCTTTAAGCAAAAAATGTTGATCGATTAATATTTCCTTATAAGTTTAACGTATTAGTTTTTACGCTCAACCCTACACTTGCGTTAGGTACTTCAATAAAAATTCAATACTACCTCAAATCCACAATTACAAGGACACTGATTCACAAACGTTCACTTTTAAAATACATTAGTTATTTTAAATAAAACTATCAACTATAAATTTTTGGTTAGACGTTTTGAATACTTTACAGCAATCATGGTAATGGGAGAGTCTCTTCCGTGACCAAAACGTCAAATATTCGCGTAAATCTAAGAAAATATTATATACTTAGGTTTACTTACTTTGTTAGGATCGAAATGGCTAACATCAAATTGTAATTTCAGGATCCTGTTCTCACCTTCACCATCGATGATTGGCGAGTTCGTAAAATCATAGTTTACGATTCCTGAAGCAGATGTATCAGATTGTACTGTCTCTCCGTGGAAACCAATGTTATTACTGGGAAGAAAGAAAAAGCTAATTATAAATGATTTAAATAAATAAAAAATAACTTATCATGAATGTTTCCATTATTGTACATAATCTTAAATTACTTAAATAATTAAGAATTTGATTAGATTTAAATGGAGAAAGTTTTATTATTCTATAGTAAAATATTGCTTATAATACTCTAACCTGAATTTCGTCATTTCTTCATCAATGTGTCTCGTCTCTGTCACAAAACTTTCTTTCGTAGAAGAAAACGTATCGTCAAAAATTAATGCATCAATTATTGTGATTGGGAGGTTTCTATAGGGATATCTATTTTTATATTTCATAAGTTAAACTTTCATTTAGTTCATCATTTATTTGCTCTTGTTATATTTGCCTAAAAAGTTTTTAATAATTTTTTTTAGAGATAACAACATGAGCTTATCACATTAAAAACCGTAATAATTTGGGGATATGAATGTAAATTATTTTATGAAAATAAAGCTATTTTCAAAATTGTAAAAAATTTAGTGGTTTTTTAGTTCTCGTAATTTCACCACACCCTGTGTGAAAGCGGACTCGTACGAGCTCGTATTACGAGAAATTCTAGTTTTCCTTGAAAAAGTAACAACGTAATTTAGTATGCTGAAAATCGCGGAAATAATTAACCTTTGACATTTGTTCTGAAAATGTCAACATGTGATATTAGAATTTGCAGAAAAAACTTTTTATACATTTTTTTTTTTTGCATAAATCTCATTACAAAAGTAAATAAAAGGTAGATTTGTACCTACTTCTTTGAACGTTATTTAGGTTAGCGTTACCTATCAAACTTTCTTTAGTTCTGAGAATTGCCGGTAGGGAATCTGCTCATCGCTAATAGCTACATTTTTAAATCATTTTTTTTAATATATAAATCATTTTTAAACTTGATAAGAAATGTTTTCAAATTATCCAAAAGATTTTCAATAATCTTTTTATAAAGTAAAACATCAAGTAATTTATTAAAATTTATACCTATTATTGTAGATTTAAGTTATAATATATAACTTTGTTTATAATTAGACATGATTAGTAACGTGTTATTTAGACTATATTCTTATTTTAAAAACTAAAAAATAAAAAATTCAATAGAGTAGGTAACTTAGGCCAAAACACTCACATGCATGTTTAAAAAAAACAATTCATAACTTGACATTTTCTTATTAAATGTCAACGTTGTCAGCATTAAATTCAAGAAGCAATTCAATTAGCATTTGACATTTCATTTTTCTCGTCTAAATGCCAGACAGAGATAACGTAACGTCACCCCTGAGATGTGGTATTTGGGGGGCAGATTGTCAGTCACCCCGGCACCATGACGACCGAAGTCTAAACATCGCCCCCTATTAATCTCAATGCTAGGGCGTGTCGAATTGGAAGGGTGACCAAGAACTTTGAAACAATGAAGTCAGTATCATGATGTTATTCACAAGGTGATACAAAATCCTCTTCATGAAAGTTTATTAATTGCAGCTCATTACTATGCAAGTATTTATTATTTTGTATTGTAAATATAATATATGCATAAAAATATCTAACCTTTGAGTTCTGTTAAATGGTGTTTTAATTTGTTTTATTTATATTTATTACTAAATAAATATATTTTCGTTTCACATGGTAGCACTACAAATGGCGAGGGCGAGAATTCAAGCAAAATTGGCGGGAAAGCTGGTCGTTTGACAGATCATTTTTTATTCCGTTCGGAAATTTGGCAGCCATTGTTCCACAAATTACCAGGTGGCCAGGAAGTGAAATATATTCGCTTTAGCATTAAAGGTGTACGCAATTTCAATTAATTTAATCAGATTTTGGGGCATGTGATTATTTAAGCTTCCACCTTTTTTTAGAATAAAATTTACATCCACTTGTAATCATGGCTTAAAAGAATATTTTTTTATTCAAAATTACCTTTAGTAAAATCTATATAACATACATAAAATATTATATCTAGGTTTAGGTATATTTATCAAGATTTGTTTTTTTTCTATTAATAAAAAAATAAACATTGAAATTAATTTTAAGCAAAGTTCTTGAGTTAAGGATTCATTAATAATCCTGAAAGCGTGACATGTACATATGGTTTCAACAAGTAATTAATATTTCATCTGTGGTCAAGCATTATTAAATTAATCAATAACCTAAATTGGATCTATCGGTCTCGAATACCTCCAGGGTAATTTAATTTCTCTAATAGCATAATAGGATTCGCCTCTAAAACTGTCGTGTAATCTTACTTGAAGTAACATTAAGATGATTTATTCGACTTCAAATGTAATTAAATCATTAATTATTACTGAAATTTCTAGCTAAATTGAGTTTTTATCGGTATAATAAGGCGAATTTATGTAACTAATATGAGAATAAAATAGCTGATATAGAACTATACTCTAATAATACAATTATTTACTTTTATTTAATTAATGTAAAACAAATAAATAGAAGTCACTATTTCCAAAAAATCATCAAAGCATAATTTTTTTATCAAAGCTAAGGATGAAAGAAGCAGACTTTCATATGAAATTTAAACCGAATGAAAGATAATTATTTATTTCATGCCTTATGAGACGCGGACACGTAGAGAAAATGTAGGTAATTTGATGTGATAAATTTTTTTCGCGTATCTCGGAAACGGCTCTAACGATTTGGATCAAATTTTGTATTTAAATAAGGATTTGTTTTTGAACTTTATTTATATACGTGATTTTTCTGAAAAAAAAAATTATAGATCTTTTACTAAAAACGTCGAACGAAGCTCTATCGCCCAGGTACCTACTGTATAAATTGTGAACTAAATGATTATTACTTTAAAGGTACTCCACCATTAAAGGTAAAATATCCTAATTGCAGCTTAACAATATTAAATGAAAAATGAAGTTTAATTTTATTTCGCCAATATTAACAAGTAGGTAAATCCAGTACACAATAATATATAAATTTCCTCATTGTAAATAAGTAAGCTATTTGTACTCGAAATGGAAATTAAACTATGATGGATTAATTTGTTTCAGCGTTATAATAGAATAAAGATGTTAAGAACGTTTTTCACCCTTGTAGGTATGTGTTTCTTAATTGTTATTAGGTTAATTGTTTTATGTTTTTGTATAATTGTTTTTAATTTCTTTGTTTTTAAGTAAATGTATTCATATAGCTATAAATAACTGTATAAGTAAATAAAAAAGATAGCGAGTTATGTTTATAAGTACAATAAAAAACTACAGATTCTTAGTAATTATATTATCTGTGATTTTTCCAATAAATTAAGATTTTTTATTATAATACTATTAAATAAACTAGTGCTCATACATTCATATTTTTAAAACATAATAATTAAGTAACTTGGTCTTTATAATTTATAAATGCAAATTTTTGTATGGGTGTGTATGGTTGTTGCTCACTCGTGCTGAAATTGCTGGACGGATCTGTATGTTTAGTAAAATAGATAGACTAGGACCTGTAACGCATAGACTACTGTTTATTCACCTAAGGAGGCAAACGATTGAAGTGAGGGTAAGTGGCTGTGTATTATCTTATTTGTATGATTTTATCAATATTTCTTCTTATAATGTTTTATAATTGTAAGAAACTTTCCCTTTATCTATCAACTATGTTACATTTCGACATACGTATCAAATAGATTCGTTATAAGGTTGCATTTATCCGTTAAAATGAAATGAACCTTTATTTGACCTCAAATCGGGTCAGTAAAGCTATCGAGAAGTGTCAAATATCATATATTCATATCACAGTGCGCGTGCGCATCACGACCGCATTGTGTCCTGTAGCGCGTGATGCGTCGCCGTGATGCAGCTATCACGGATGGGTTTAATTGTGTTCTTATGTACCATACTGGTCACTCGCTCCAAACTTTCCTTGTATATGATAAACATAATACTTTCTTAGATTCATGCGAATATTTGACATCTATACATATAATAAAATTGTAACTAAGCCGAATCTGTACATTAAATATTTTTTGGAAAATCTTATTGAAATAGACATTATTATCGATATAGACATTATTATCGATATAGAGGCCGAATCTATAGTTTTTAGAATTTTATGTTACCGCATCACGGAAAAACCACCGGATGGATTGTCATGATATTTGGTATGGTGATAGCTGGTTATCCGGGTCAACATAGTATAGGATAAATTTTACCGCGGAAAAATATCTCATTTCTGAGAAAAAATACAAAAACTACAATGTTAGAGTATACTAATATGTAAAACCTATGAATTTGGTTTTTGGTCATCTGAACGCGGAAGGAGCCACGGGCAATGCTAGTTTTAAATAAAACTCTCTTTTCGGATTAACTCGCTGATTTACTTAGATTTTTGGTTCCCGATGTTTCGAATGCTTTACATAAAAATACGGTGACGGAGTAGACTAATACGTCTCAAAACGAGACGTCTCAAAGGTCATGATTTAATGTCATAACGATTAAAATCATTTTACACTTTTAAAATTTCTGTTCTTCATCGATAGCAGAATGACATCTTGCCCAACACCTACATTAGTTTTTAAGAAATATATACTTTATAGCATATTTTACAACCTTATTACAATATTAAATGTAGGTACATCCCTCCATAATCGAAATGCCAGATGCAAATAAAAAGTAATCATCGTAATGAAAGAACCAAAACACATTTAATCAACCCATTTACCCATAACGTGGTGTAATCTATTTTTTCTTCCCGCACGCGTTTATCCCGCTTCGATCTCACGGCGATCGCGTGTCTGTATACAGTTTGCGGACTGGCTACTACTGGAATCAGAATTTAAACAAAAATATTATGACTATTATATAATAATATTTCAATTAAACACAATATCATTTATTTAGTTCTTAAATGAAATAATTGATTAATATAAATCAAACATGTTATTAGTAAAAGTTTCGTAATTACATTAGGTTATAAGGTGCATTCATTTTCATTATTTTTAAACCCCATATCACTCTTTACATAACATTTTCTTAAATGTACATATATAACTAGATTTTATCAAACTAGATTCGAGTTAATATAGTACGGGCATCGTACCCCTCTATTTCGCCGTGTTTGTGTTTATGTGTACCAATTAACTGATTGTTGCGAGGTAACGCGGGGCTGTGATACTCTAATCACGTTACCGACCGGTCCATATGGTCCAGGGAACAATAGATTGTTAATAAGAAATATATTATGATAATAAAAAAATCGATAAAAAGGTTTATAGTTCAAAGGCGATGGCACTACGCCATCAATAACAGATTTATTTTGGTCCTACTTAGTACCACGTTTCATCGCGTTCGGGAAATCGATAACATCTAATGCTTTTTTGAAAATTACACTTATCAAATCATAAAAATCTCATCAAAATTATAATTATACAAGCGCAGATATTGTCAAGTAGGTATACAAACGTTGATCAAGGGTTCCTTTTCATATTTATAATTGGGCTGTAAGATAATTTGTACAGATTTTAATTCGTGTTATATATGAGTTTTAATTTGAATGAATATTATCATTGTAAGCTAGAGATTATGAGGAAAACTATAGCGATAATTTTAAATACCTACTAAAGACAACTATTTTTATTTTAGCAATAACCCCACGACTCTGTGAGCTTAAAATAATTATAAATCCCTACACGGTTCAGAAGATCTTGCAGTACTTCTATGCTCGACATTCCTAGGAGCAATACTAAATTCCAACAAAATTATTTTTCTGTCCATGCCGCAGTACTATGGAACAAACTGCCCAAAACCATCCATGAGAGCCCATCTATTCATGTCTTTAAATGTAAATTAAAAAGTTATTTATTATCACAAATGTAGACAGTATCAATCAGAACCTTCCTCTATTTTCATATTTTATATATTAACTATGTATATGTATATATGTATGTATGTATAAGTAGTCTTTACATTAGGTATTATATATGTATAGTATTATATATTTTTATATGTAAGATATGTATATGTATGTATGTATGTATGTATAAGTGATTATTATTACCTTTATTTCTAGTATATATTTAGTAAATTTTTTTGCACTATATTGCCCGCTGACATCTTCTTCCACAACCAGGGGTTGACTGGAAGAGATCTCTTTTAGAGATAAGTCCACCTTTGTGAACTATGTTTACTTTGTTTTTTTTTTTTTCTGTATCATATTTTTAAGTGCAATAAAGAATATAATAATAAATTAAAAATAAAAAAACCCTAACGCAAAATTAATTGTCATTTAACGATTACACTGGCACGCGTGAAACACTTAATCGAGTAATCATCATACGCCAATATGCCATCATCATGGAAAAGAGCTGATACTCTTACACTGAACTGAAATCGGTCTATCCGTTTGAGAGCTAGATGCCACAGACAGACAAACACACAGACAGACAAAGACACAGACAGACAAACACACAGGCAGGCATCGACGTCAAACTTATAACACCCCTTTTAAGTGTCGGGGGTTAAAAATGTAAACTAAAATAAAAAAGACACTGAATATTTATAAAGCGAAGGTATATGACGATAACATACATATTTTTAGTAAAAAATATGTAGGTACTTAGGTTATTATAAATAGTGTAAAAACAGTTATTACAAAACTTCTCTAATCTCTATGTGCACATGCGAGGTTAATCTTGTACATTGATACTTTTTCTGTCTAAATGTTTCTTTTCCTAGATGCTCGCGTTTTTTGTATTTTACATGTAGTTATTTTCAAATTAAAATTCAATTCCAATTTATTTTATACTAGCGACTCATCATCGCTTCGCTCGGGTTCGTCTCTACTTACGTTTTAACATTTTGTATAGATTTCT